GTGCCAAGGGCTTCAGATGTGCCAGCCCTATGTGGAACCTCTAAGCTTCCTACTGGCACATTGTCCCATAGGAAGGAAAGAAGGAAGAAAATCCTTCTTGATTTTTCCATGTGTCTAGTTGGGGTTGCCCAGAAGCAGCCTGCGTGGGGAAGGCGTGATGAGGAGGGAGACTTTCGCGTTCCTGGAAAGCTGGGCGCGTGGTCCCTTGTTCAGGCCTGTGAAAGATGAGGCTCAGCGTCTTCCCACAGGAAAGGCAGTGGCCTCCACTCGATGAAGGATGCTTCCAGAAGCATGGGCACCTTGCACATAATTTGTAGCATAGATGGGATAAAATTATAACCCACACCTCTGCTTACTAATAAGAACAAAGGAGCCTCTGGTCTCTGCAAGCCCATTAGTCTGAGAGCAGCAGACCCTGGAATGGGAGAGAGAAAAGGGGTGAGTGGGGAAGAGGGAAGGTAGACAGAGCTGACACCCCAGAGATCCGGGCTGTTCCAAATTCCACTTTCTGCCTTCCAGCTGCCTCCCAGCCGCTTCACCTCGCTGATGCCCTGTGCAGCCCAAGTTTCGGTGCACGCGGGGATGCCGGCTTAACCAGTCCTTTTAAAAAAGCCTCTTCTTGCAAATCAATGTAAAAATATTCTGCGGTACAGAGTAGATTTGATTAAAAAGGGAAAAGGTTGCCTGAAGTATGCCCCCAAAAATTGAGCTAATGGGAATCTCATTCATTATTTAATCTCCTGCTTATCAGAACAGGACCAAAGTGGAATCCAATATGGCACGTGCCCGGTGCTGTCCGGGAGAGGAGGCTGAAGGCAGGAGCAGGGGAGGGAAGGTCGGATGCAGACTTGCCATTTCCCTTCATGTATTAAACCAGGACGCTGCTTTGAGCCAGATTAATAACCATTGTGGACTGGAAAATCCCAATAAAGCTGTGCATATGTGTGTGTGTGTGTGTGTGTACATATCCACATGTATGTGCACACACATATATATTTATGCAGTATCCATTCTCTTGCGTTACACTGTGATTCCTAAGCCACCGCATTACAGGACCTTATTCCACACAGATCAAATGTTTCTCCTCTGGCAACAGCCCACAAGGTGGGAGCACCAAGCAATGGCCGGGCAGATGCCGTGTCTGCTCACTTGCGCTGTGCTGGCAACACCTGCCTTAGTGTTCTAGAAAGGGCAGAAACTGGAGCAAACACCCAGCAGCCCTCTCCCCAGAGAGATGTTGAGGGGTGGGGACAACATCTTTGGAGAGTTTCCCACGTGCCCAGCTTTATGGGTACTAGGTAGCCTTTCATCCCCATAGCAATTCCGAAGATCGCATCATCATCTGTCTTGCAAGTGAGGAAACTAAGGCACAAAGATGTAGGAAACTGGCCCAGACCAGAGAGTAGTAAGTGGCTGGTTTATCAGACCCTAAAGTTCATGTTTTCTTTTCACTAAACAATGCCACCTTCCCTAAGGCCTAGCGAAGTGAGGCCTGACAGTCCACCTCTGCATGGATGGATGACAGGCACACTGGCGGCTCTCCCAGACTTTCATTTTGTTCAGATCAGTCTCCTTCACCACCCCCTAGGTGTTCACACCTTGAATCCCTGGTTCACCCCGTTGTCCCACTTGTCCACTCCCCCAGAACACCTCTCCTGGCCTTTCTTCCACCTCCCCTACCCAACCTGCATTCCCTGAGGTCCACCTGCTGAGCAGTGAGCGCCCTGCACTCAAAGGGCCACATTCCATGTGCAACGTTAGCGGGTTTGCCTCTTCTTCAACCCTGACCCACAGTGGAGCCACTGAGACACTATCTTCTTTCAACGTGCTTTGTGCCTGGGTAACAAATGGGTCAGGTCCGTTGGGACAATTTCTCGGCAAAAGGCCACCCTCTGAGTTGTCCATCTGTGGATTATTTATCATGCAGATCCTTGGTGGCCCCACTGCACAGGTTCCTCAATGTCCAACAGCCCCTTTGCCCTCCCTCCTACCCGCAATGGGCCCATAGCATTACTATGGGACAGCCAGCATAGACCAGACACATAGGGGCATAGGGGGCAGGCAACGACTCTTTCCAAGAAAGGGTGTTTGTAGTGAGCTATCTGGTGGGTTTGTGCCAGGGCGTCTCCCCTCCCTCCCCTCTGTCCCCCCAGCTGCACCTGGACTGGGCATGGCTGGCACACACGTGGGGCTCCTGGGACAGACATGGGATAAGTGTGTCGAGCCTGCTAACTTCTTTCCATCCTTTAATGCCAGCTAGTGACAGCTTTCCTTTACCCATCATATTCTTTGAAATTCAGTTTGAGCTATAGAGGAGCTTAAAAAAAAAAAACGGAGCAGGGCACCCAACTACCTACAAAACAACTCGGTGAGGCAGTTTCTTCAGCAAACCTACGTCTTATATCTTCTGTGACAAAAAGATTTATAGCAATTTTTTATTAAAAAAGAGAGAGGGAGAAAGAGAGCTGCAGATAATCAGATCTGAGACGCAGAAATGGGAGCGTGGGGGTGTTATATGCATGTAAGTTATTTTAAAATATATGTTAGGTGCGTGATGGATTTTTCCACCCCCAGCTGGAGGGGGGCCACCCCAGCCCCCCGACACCCGATGCCTGGCCTGAAGTGATGGAATTGGTGTCTGAAGGGGACGGACAGGGATGACGGGAGCAGGAAGGCAGGCACTCTTCTGCTAGCATTCACAGGCACTCTCCCTCCAGCTGCTCCACAGGTAGAGAGGGGACTCCGCTGTCTTTAGAGGGAAGGACACAGCCACAGGCTCTTAAAACCAGAAGCAGTCTTAGGGACCCTCCAGGATTAAGCTCTCAGCCCTGTTCTATAAATGAAACATGTTTTATAAATCATGGTTATAAAGAGAAAGGCTTCCCCTGCATCTTGGAGCACACAGACGGGCTGCCCTGGCCTTGGTGGGAAGGTACACACACCTGTCTTCTGCCTCTCCCGGCCTTCTCCGTCTCCTGGGTCCCAGGGTAGAGCCCACCTCGTGACAAGGGTGGAAGCAGGAACTGGTGTGCACGTCACAGGGAGGAACTAAGGTCTGTCCCAGAACGGACAGAGTGGGCAGGAAGGTTGCCCAAACCCGAGGCTGAGCAGACCTCGGTGCCGAGATCTGAACTAGCAGGGGCGGGGGCAGGAGTGGGAATGGGGGAGGGGCAGGAGTGGGAATGGGGGAGAGGCAGGACCATCCTCGTGGAACATGCCCCAGCCTGGGAAATAACTGCCTTCACACAGGGAGGCCCGCTTCCACGGGACCTGCAGACAACACTGTCAAATGACTAGACATTCACCTGTTAGTGAAAATGACAAGATGGGGGTGTGGAGGAAGAGTCCAGAAAACATATCCTATGAGGAACAGCTGAAGGAACTAGGGGTCTGAAGGAAAGGGGCCTGGGGAGTGGCACCCATGGGCTGGGTGCAGGGGCTGGGGCTGCAGAGGACTTACAAGGAGGGTGTGTTTGGTGGGACAAACAAAAGAGACATTGCAGCATGAGTAAAAACATTGGGACAAGAAAAAAGCACGGCCCAAGGGATGGGCAATGCTCAACCCCAACATGAATTTCGAATGGGCCCTGGTGTGTCGGCCAGCAAGGCAGACGCAGGCCGACAGGGAAGATGCTAGAAGGGGGCTTTCCAGGTTCTTCGAAGGGCAGTGTGAAGGCAGCCACACCTCCGCACCGGGCTTGGTAATGAGCACGCACTCTCCATCTGAGTCCTCTGAGCCTTCCCGGGACACATCTGAGTCCTCTGGGAGCCGAGCCCACCCAGAAGCAGAGCGCGTGGGTGAGAGGGCTGTCGCACACAGGCCTGGCTGGGGCAGTGTCGGGCTCAGGCACAGCCCAGGCGCGAGAGGTCCTGCGGCTGCGGGAGGGCCCTGGGCATCCAGGTATGCACGTTCCCCAACAGGCAGGGCCTCAACTCCCGCTTCCCTCGTTCTCCCCTCCCCAGATCCTCTCCCACGTCTTCATCATGAAGTTAATAATCTGAAAACAGACACTTAAATAAATCCAGGGGCACCCTGCTTGAAGGAGCCCCAGGACTTGGAAACAGGAGGGCTTCTCTTCAGCGGGGTGCAGTCTGGAGAGCAGAGAGGCCTTCCACTGTGTGACTGAGACCCTCTGCTTCCCGGCCTAGTGACCCGGCCGCAAGCCAAGCGGGAGCTTGGTGGGTTTGCACAGCGTGCTCGGGGGTGCGTGCCTCGACCTCTGGGAGTTGTAGCTGTCTTGCCTGTGAAGTGCAGTTGATAACCTCTGCTCACGGGGCTGCTGCGAGGAGTCTCCGAGATAGGCATGTGGTGGCCTGGCCAGGCCCTGGCTGGCGGGGAATCCGTGCACGGTGGTCGAAGCCCCACTTCAAGAGGAAGACGCTGGCTCTAAACCACCACAGCGGCCTCCTGGACAGATGGCCTCACGGCAGGCACCAAGCCAGGGCAAGGCCAGCTACTGGCACCTAGAGCCCAGCTGGGGAAGTGGGCTCTGAGGACGGGAGTGAGAATTGGGGCCCTGAGTGGGCAGTCTGTGTAGCCGAGACCATGTCAGAAGAGGGGACGGGCAGCTCTAGCCCAGACGGTCCACACGCTTCTGGCCATACCATAGTGCCTGCCTGTCTGTCCATCTGTCTGTGTCACACACACACACACACACACACACACACACGCGTCATGTAATGTGCACTATGGAAACATCAACATGTGTCCCTCACGCTTCTGCCTGGGGAGGACACACATCTGCAGGGTCCTGCCCTGCCCACGCCTGTCTCTCAGCCCCACTTCTAGTGGGCCCATCCACGGCCAGGTACAGGTGGGCCAGGCCCCGCCCATGCACGGCACACAGCGCACAGCAACATGAACCCCCGCCGCCCCCTCGTCACACAGTGTCACACAGTGTCACCTGCAAACACTGCTCCCTGTCCCTCCACTCCAGCCATTTGTCCCCAGCCTTCCAGTGGGCCTTGCGGAGCTGGGGGCGGGGCCCAGAGAGCCTCGGGGGAGGGGTGGCCTTGCCTTCACGGAGGGTGACTCCTTGCGATATTTTTAAACATTTCCCTCATTTGCTAAATGAGGCTTTCGCTCTGGCTCCCTTTGAAGCGGCTGCTCCTCTCGGGGCGGGGGGCGGGGAGGCAGTGGCCTGACAGATGCTTAAGAAATTATGGTGAAACCTGCTGACTCAGGCCCGAATTATGTGCTGTCCCGGGACTGTGTTTAGTCCAATAAGCGCTGCGGGCTGCTCATCCTCCCCCTCCCCCTCTCCTTCCTTTTCTTCCTGCCTCTCTCCCCTCCTCTCCCTGTCTCTCCACTCACTCTGGCTGTCTCAGCCCAGGCATCTTTCACTTTCCTCCCTGAGCACCTCTTGCTCCTCCCAGCCCTCCTCCCGGGAACGGGCCAGCCTCCCAGTGGGGGAAAAGATGCCAACCACACAGAGCCGCAGGGGCCCTAGGGTGCGGACCATGGGTGGAGGGTGGGGAGGGCAGAGAGAGGCTGGGGGAGAAGGAGCCAGGAAGGCCCCTTGGGAGAGGGGGCACTTGAGCTAGGCCTGAAAGAGACCTTGAACTTGGTAGGCGGTAGAAGTGCACAGGGCTGCCAAGAAGAGAAGGAGCAGTTCTGGCCTGTCCCAAGGGCAGAGAAACTGGTGAGGGGATGACGGGGAGCTCTGTGGTTACGGAGGGGAGGAAGACCATTGTGAATCTCAGAAGTTCCTTTTGGCTTGAACTTTTATTTACACTTCTGCCTACTTATTGTCTTTCTTCCTCACCTTTTGCATGTGCTGACCCTTGCTCTTTGCCGGAATAAAGAATGACAAAGAGCCTCTACCCGCACCCTACCCCACCCCACACTCACTCCCCGTCTGACACCTGCAAGCTGGAAGGACTGAGAAGGGGCTCCCACTCAGAACACCGGGAGAGAAGGGTGGAGTTTCTGGGGAACTCAGGACTGAAGGGGGCAGAGAAGGGGCCCCTGACCCTGGAACCCCGGATGGGGTGGATCCGTGGAGGTGGCAGCCAGGCGTGCATTCCAGGCAGGTGCAGTGGAAGGAGCATTGGAAGCAGGAGGGAGCATCCTTGGGGCCCAACTGCTCTTCTCCCACGTGGGCAACCTTGAAGACGGATGATAATTAAACTTGAATGCAAATTAAAATGGTTCAAACCAAACACTTACAGACTCACCTCGGCAGCCTCCTTGCTCATTCCCACTGGATCATTTGTTCCACAGCCTCAGCACAAGGAGGGGCAGGTCCACTCCAGGTGGCCCCAGAATTAAAAAAGGAAGGAACCCCAGAGACAAGCACTGCAAATGCCCAGGGATCAGATAGGGAAGTTTGAGGCCCAGAGAGGTGTGGTGATTTGTCCCAGGCCATCAACAAACTGGTGGCATACTCAAAGTTGGGTTTTAAGGTCAGACAGCCCCAAGGAGACAATGGGCTATGGCCAGAAAATGACACACCTAAACAGGCAGGAAGGCCTGGGGTCTGGTCCAGACCTCCTCCAAATGGATCACTGCAGGCCCCAGGTCAGTCCCACTCAGGGATTGAAGTGCAATATTCCCATTTCTTGATCAGGCTGAGTGACACCACTGCAGCCCCCAGGGAGGCGACAGGCCAGCCCCGCGTGAGTGTGGCTGGTGGGAAGAATGCTGATTGCTTCCTTTTCTATCTCCCCATCCAACTGCAAGCACCTTAAAGGCTGAAGGATTTCTGGCTCATGGCTGGTGCCAGGGGACTCTCAGATCCATGTCACGTCAGGGTGGGAACACCAGCTAAGCTATGCTCTGTGGCTCCCTGGCTGGCAAGTCTTAGACAAGCTCCTGAATGTTCCTATCTCTTGGTTGCATCTTCTGTAGAACTGGTCCATAGGGTGTTTCTGAGGACCAAAGGAATTAATGCGCAGACGGCCCTGGACCGGTACTCAGTGAACATAAGTTAGTGTCAGCATATGAGACGGCCTGGATCACTCTCTGAAAGGCACTTTTCTGGGTCCTTCCCTCCAAATGCAGAGCCCACTGTCTCTTCTGTGCTCATCAGGGACCCAGCATGGGCCCATCACACAGTAGGTATTTGCTGAGCTGCCAGACACAGCCGGCTGCATGGAAGGTTTTACCAACTGGCCTTGGATTTCACTTTAAAGGAAAGAATAGCTGATGGGAAGTTGCAGTGAACATCTCCATTTCCATCACTTTTTCTGAGTGAGGAAGACCCACCTACAGCCCTCCGAAGTCCAGCAGGACCCTGGTGAAGGGCATCCCAGCTGCCAGTCAAGGCCCTGCTCAGGGCCCCGCCTCACCGCTCTCTGGGAACCAAGGGAGCCCAGCAGAAGCAGCCAAGGAAGGGTCCCCACCACCTACCCTGTACCCAGAGCCAGCCTCTGGGGCCCCTGCCAGGCCCAGCTCCACGTCAGAAAGGCCCAGGACCCGCTGGGATCAAGCTGTTCCAATAGCGAAGCACAAATCAGCCGCCCTCGGCCCTGCCATTTGCCAGAACCAAATTCATGAGCCTCTGATAAATAATTCAGGCGTCTCCATCTGTGGAAAAGTTGGATTTGGCCTAATTTCTCTCATAAACAAAGAACATCATCTGCTCATAACAGTAAAATAGACACCAGTCAAATTTTTCAAAAACTGTAGATTCCAACGAACCTCGTCCACTCCAGGTCTGGGATCGTGGAATCCTGCTCATCTCTAGAATCCGGAGCGTGGGACGGGCTGAGAACTCTGCAGTCTGATTGGAAGAACTGGGGCCAGGCGGTTGGTTCAGTGAAGAAGAGGAGGATGTATTTTGAGGGCTTCCGTATGTGGTTTGAAGACCAACGGATACACCTAACTACAAACGATCCTTCTCCATTTGTGGAAGTCGACTGCCTGATTTGTTCCTAAGTAGTATTTGCTGCAAGATCGTGCAAGCGACAAATGCATTTCTTTGGAAATATTCTTGAGCCCAGGTGTATCAGCCCAGGTTCTCCAGAAATAGAAGATATATATATATATATATATATACACACACACACACACACACATAAAGGTTTATTTCAAGGAATTGGCTCCCGTGATTGTAGGGGAACTGGCACATCTGAGATCCACAGGGAAGGCCAGCAAGCTAGAAACTCAGGCAGCAGTTGATGCTGCAGTTCTTTAGACAGAATTTCTTCTTCAAGGAAACATCGGTTTTGCTTTTAAGGCCTTTCAACTGATTGGATGAGGCCCACCCCCATCTTCTCCTTTACTTAGAGGCGACTAATTGGAGATGTTACCCACATCCACAAAATCCCATCTCGGCAACACCAAGATTGGTGTTTGAATACTGTAGGTGCTATCGCCCCAGGTAACTCATGAAACTGACCCTGTCACCATGTGATCTAGTGTTTGCTTTCCCTTGGGGTCTCTTCTACCACCTGCACTGGTGAGATGCCAAGAAGCATCCAGAAACGTTTGAGCCAGAGGGAACCCTGGAAATAATGTGGTTGGGGAAACAGAAGCCAAAAGAACTGAACTGGTTTGCCATGGTTCCACAGCTAAGTTAGATGGGCACGTGTCTTCATGAGTCAGAACCCCATATTCTCACCTGCTCATGGACTCACCATCTCTGCCTGCCTGCCGCGAAGTCCCAAACACAGCTGGGTCCCACAGTTGTGCAGCTCTGTTACAAACCAATCCTGGGCTGGTAGATGATGACTCGTGGGTCTGTCTTGGGCATCCTGTGTTTCTGTTATTTGGGGCCTTCTAGACCAATGTTGTCCAGCTTGTCCAGCCAACAGATACCTGGCATCATGTTGGTGATTATCCGAGTCCATTTTTGCTGCTATAACAGAATATCCAAGACTGGGTAATTTATGAACAATAGAGGTTTATTGTGCTTACAGTGTGGGGGCTGAGAAGTCCAAGCGCATGGCGCTGGCGGCGTCTGTTGAGGGCCTTCTTGCTGCGTCATCCGGTGGCAGAGAAATAGAAGGGCAAGGAAATGCATGAGACAGAGGGGAAAGGAGGGCCGAACTCATCTTTTTACCACGGCCCCACTGTCACAGTAACATTCCCAGGATACAACATCAATCCATTCACGATGGCAAAGCCCTCATGACCAAATCACCTCTTACATGTCCCACCCCTTCATACTGTCACAATGGCAATTAAATTTCAACATGGGTTTGGGGGGTAATTCAGACCACAGCAGTGATCAACAGGTGTTTGTGAAGGAAAAACAACTGTGAACATCTCCTGTGCGTTATTCAGCTCAAGCGTCCTGTCACTTGGCACGGTGCTGATGTAATAGAAGCTCCAGAAGTGCAGACCTGAAAGGGGGCCTCCTAGAGCAGAAAGAAATAGGCAGGCCTTCCCCACAGGTAGGAAAGTAATAACCAGGACAAAGCAGCCACCTGTGAAATGTGGGCAATTTGAAATCTACGTGCACACCAGGGTCTCTGAATCCTCTCCGCCACCAGCGGGGCTGTGGCCATCCCCGTTTTACAGGTGAGGAGCATAGGACTTAGCTGGAGAAGGGACTTGTCCAAGGTGGCTGGGCCCATGGTGGGATCTCGGGTGACTGCAAGCACAGCGCTCTGCCTGCTAAGCCCCACCACTCTCATGAGTCCCCACACCTTGGGGAGAGACCGAGGCCAGAGGCCCCAGGCAGTGTCAGTGGCCGGTGCATTGTCCTGGTGCTCTCACCTAAGGGTGCCTAGGAGACCACTGAGGGCCAGGGAGAGAGGAAGGATGAGAGAGCTAGCTGCAGCCTTGTGTCTCAGCAGGGACCCCTCGGGGGAGCCAGTGGGGTCCTCCTCCCACCTGTCCTGGGCCAGGTTCTTTCTCAAGATCAACAGCAGGTCCAGTCCTCAAAACCCCTCACATGGCAGAGCCAGGCCTGGAGCAGCATGTGCATGGAGCCACAGGCCACTGTCCAAAGAGAACAGTTCTCCTCCCACTCCACCATGCACCAGCCCACCCTCCCAGTACGGGACTGTCACTGTCATCTAGTTCAGTCCCTCTTTCGTCCACGTTTCTAGCCTCTCCCCCTTCTGACCTCCAAACTCCAGAACTTTAGAGGAGGAAGTGATCTGGCCTGGATTGTTATTGAGAGGGACTGGGAGACGGGCCTCACAGGCCATAAAAGCTCTTCTACCTCTCTCCCTCCCAGCAAGGGAGGTGGCAGCTCCATCCGCACACTTGTCCTCCTCGAACACCTGCCCTTCACACTCTAGATGGGCCCAGGGCCCCTTTACAGCCCCAGTGCCACTGCCAACAGCACTGCCAGCCTGGCCTGGTCCTGGGCGGGAGGGACAGGAGGGAGGAGATAGCCCACCATCAGAACAGACAGCAGGAGGAGCCCCTGCATGAAAGAGCAGAACCAACCTTGTGCCAGAACAAAGCACATCCAAGGGTGCCCTGGGGGCTGGACACAGTATTCCAGGGGGGTGCAGGGCTCGGAAACAGAGACTTGGGTTTAAGCCGCAGTTCAGCTTGAACCCAGCTGAGATTGGACTTCTTCTCTGGTTAAAGAAAAAAAACCAATGAATGATAACTGCCTCACAGGGTTCTTGAACAGCCAACATTATTCACAAATACAGAGTGCACTGCAAACAGGAGATGGTCACTGACCAGGCAGTGTTTGGCCACCCTGGGCCTGGTTTCTGGGCAGCATGGCTTGGGAGCTGTAGCCAGGGAGAAGTAGCCAGGGAGAAGTAGCCAGGAGTGGCTCAAAGCTCATCCTGCCCAGCCTCCACCCTGCCTGCGTGGACTCCCCAGGGCTCCTCAGTGCACAGTTTGCAATCCCAACCAATCGCTTCAATGTGAGGAAACTGAAGCCTAGAGAGGGCAGGTGGCCCTCCCAGGGCTACCCAGATGGTCCTGCCCCCGCCCAGCTGCGGTTTAGAGTAGAAACTGCAGGGGGGCAGGGACCATGGCTTTGTCCAGCCTGGACAGGGCCCAACACTTCTGAACGAATGAGGGGTCTCCTAAGACGCCCAGTGCATGAATGCACCCGGGCTCTTTAAATGCAGGGTGAGGGGCTGGGTGTGCAGGCATCGCAGGGGGTCCAGAAAGCCGGGGCACAGTGCAGAATAGCTGCTTTGTGTCCGCAGAGAGGAAGGAGCAGGGCTTATAACCTCCAGGAAGGACAAGGGTTTGTAGGAAGTGGGGGTGACAGGGCAGTGGGCAGAGGTGCAATGTGCTCCCTCCCCACTGTGCTCCAGGAGGCCCAGTGTCCAGCTGCCACACGGGCAGGCACACCAAGAGCACAGCCGAAATAAAGACATCCAGACACAAGGCTGCACCCTCAGAGACGGAATCCTGGCTCTTGCTACTTTAATTAAGAAAAACAAAAGACATGAGCAGGGCGAGTTTGCCTGGGAGTTGCTGGGAGGCGGGAAGGATGGGTTCTTGGCTTCCTCCATGTGGTGGCTTGGCCGTGCTGTCGGTGAGAATGAGGTCATGAGTTCACAGCCCACACGTTGTGGGGGAAAGAGCCCAAATCCTCCATTCCAAACTGATCCCCAACCACAGACTCAAAGCGACCTTAGCTCAGTCCAGCCACCTGCCTCATCCATGCTGTCTCTTACAAGGGCATTGGCAAGACAGGGCAGCTGCATTCATTTGACCAATGTTTACTGAGCACCTACTATGTGCCAAGCTCAGTGCAGAGAGCATAGCAGTGCAGGACACAAGCTCCCTGCCCTCACAGCCGCCCACTCCATCAGCCTTAATCCATGCCTTACCCTACTCTTGCATTTGTTGCTCCTTGTCTGTTTGTAATCCTTCTGGAAGTCTATTCACTCCACCATCTTGAAGCATGTTCCTAATAGCCAAAAGTTTACAGATGGAAAAAGGGCAGCCCAGCTAGGATGAGAATTTAGATCTCCCATCTCTCAACGACACACTCTTCAAGCCTTGTAGTGTGTGCAGTGTGGGCATGGGCTGCATGGGGGTATCCGAGGCCAGGTGTCACAGTGGTGTGTGGCTGCTGGGTTTGGGGGTGGGGTGCAGAAAAAATTCCAAACTCACATCCCACAAGCTCACCTAAGTGCATCTCTGCTGCGTCCCCTGGGGAATAAGAAATCCAAAGCATCTGTAGTCTTAGACTCGTGGATAAAGAGAAAGAACTCATCAACACAGAGAGGACAGGATCCATAGCCTGGCCTGGAACCATGGGGTGGGTTTCCCCAGACATTCAGAAATGATGAGTGTGTCAGAAGACCAAAGATGCGGAGAAAGAGTGAGATAAAACTACTGGGGTCCACGAAGGGAACCAGATAAGAAGAGAACAGGACGTAGGTTGGAGCTGATGGTTCAAGCCACCTGGAGGGGGCTGGGAGGGCCTTGAGTCACTGGCTAGGAAGTTCACAGTGGGCACCATGCACTTGGGTGCTTTGAAGGCAGAGTGTCCCAATGCTGCCCTCCTTTCTCCTCTTGCCACTGCACCAAGGCATGACAACTGGGTCTCCTACTAGTGTGTGCTATTTTGGGGTCCTCACCCCCTTGCAGGCAGGCTGGCCCTGGCCAACCAAGAGGTCGGGTGAACTGGCTTCAGCACCCCCGCCAGTTGAAGGAGTTATCCACCCCTAGGCAGGAAACCTCCAGATGATAGATTCACACTGTGAGATAGGGACCCTGGTGTCCACCCCTCACTGAGCCAGCCCCCCAGGGGCTTGATGCTCTGCAAGCAGAAACCCAGAGAGAAACTACTAATTTCAAAATGACAAACCTAGCAGTGGACACCAAGACATTGTTGCTCATCCTCTTGAGAATCTTTAGTGAGCACCTACTATGTGCAACGTGTGGGGTACAGTGATGGGAAGGATATGGAGGGGGCAGCACAGGCCCCAGCTTGCAAGAGCCTGGGAAGCAGAGGAGGGAACATGTCTGGTCGTTAACACACTACATGAAGGTATGCAGAAGGGAACGGTGCGAGAAGTACACAAAAAACACTCTAACCAGAGCCATGGCTTGTAAGTGCCACAAGAGGGGTGCAAGCAGAACTGCTGGGGGGAGTGAGCCTCTGCCTCCCTGCCCACGAGGCTCTACCAAGGAGACAGTGGGCATTCCATAGGGGCGGTGACACAGTGAGGGTACATACAGACAGAAATAGTGGTGGAGGCCCAGGAAGATATGGGGACCCGCAGCTGCAGGCCTGGAGGGCCATGTTCCACCAGGGAAGATGGAGTTTGAGGATTGGCAGTGGGCAGGTGGGTCTGTAGGGGAGGGGTGGCAGACTCACTCTGGGGCAGGTAGTGGTGGCCTAGGACAAGGCCTGGGAATGTCAAGGAGGCTGTGGAGTGAGGGGCCACCAGACAGGCCTACCAGAGGGGGAGGACACCCCCACTACCCAAAGCCTATGAGGTAGGCTGCCACTGCATGAGCGGATCAGGAGCAGCCTTGGCTAGGGGGGAAGTGGGCAGCTGACATCTGGGCCTGGAGACAGCAAAGCCTGCAGGGCGGGGCAGTCCTCCCAGGACGCCAGTCCTCCCACCCCCTCACCCTTTCCCCCCACATCTGTCTACAGTGGAGAGGAGGGCTGCTGGGCTGCCGTGGGAGGGCCCTGGCATGGCGTTATTAAGACATCTGTGTCTCTAATGAAAAGTTACCCGTTGCTGGGCAGGGGAGAGACACAAATCATTATGAATCAATTTAGCTCTGGCCGGCCATCTGCCTGGGCCTCACGTGGGGGGAGCGGCCGCAGCCGCATCCTGCTCTCTCCCTGCCCCCGGCCCGGCCCGGCCGAGCCTTCGCTGGACGCGGCCAGGAGGGGGGCGGGCTGCCCTCCAGGAGGGGGTGCTGGACCGAGGACACTCGCGACCGCCTGCTTAGTGTCCGCGTGTTTTCGTGGACGCAGGCCAGATCTAGCGGGCAGAGCGGCGGCGCGCGACCCGGAGGGGAAAGGCAGCCCAATTCCGCGTGTCCTCCACCGGGTCCGCGTCCCGCCCCTCGTGCCTCTCCCTGCTCCGTGAGCCGCCCGCGCCCTCCGCCCCGCTCCTCGCGTCGGTCGCGAGTGGGTGGCGGCCGGTCGTGGAGCCACCGCTCTGGCCACGGTCACGGCTCGGTTGCTATGGAGACCGGCCCCGCCCGCTCCCCCGCCCCGCGACGGGTCCCAAGCATCTGCCGCGGCCCCTCCCGCGGGCCGGGAGCCGTGCGCCGCCCGGAGGAACGCGCCAGTTGTCGCACGCGCCCTGCGGCCCCCGACAAGCTGGCAATTTGTTGTTGTTTGTCGAGTGCTTTTGTCATGCAAATCCCAGAGCCGGCCGCTGGCGCTCCGTTCCGCTCTGAGGAGGTGGGGTGTTTTTGCCTTTTTTTTTTCCCTTGGCCTTTGCAGTTGCAATTGTTGGTGTTGCTTAAAACTGGGGGGGAAAAAAACACGTAAAGGAAAATCACTTACTTAATTCCATTTGCGTTCAGCGTTTGTAGCTCCACAGTGCCCCTGCACCTTCAGAGGCTGCCAAGGTTGGTTAGGAGGTGAAGGAATCTGCCTAGATGTGCACCTGTCATCAGGAGAGACAGTCTAGGGCACTTGGGCTGGAGCACTAAGGCCCAGCTCCTAGAACCACTCCCATCCAGGGAACCCCCCCACTCTTGCATTGCCTCTGCCGGACTTGTCATCCCGTGGGGCGTGTGGGGCCTGGCTGCTGGCAAAGCCCTCCCTCCACAGCAATGTGTCCCCCCCAGGGCTGGGACAGCCCAAGCCCAGCCTCGCCCACTCAGATGGGCCCACATTTCCAAAGGGCTGTTTCTCAAGTCCCCAGGCAGCACCCGCCGAAGGGAATTAGTTCTGGCAAATTCTTGGCAAACCAAATGTCCCTGGAAAGCAAAGAGTGACCCCCTGTGTAGCTTTACCCCATGTCATATTTCCCTGGTTCTCAGTGGTTTCAGGGAAGTCCCCGTTATGTCCATCAGGCAGGTAGGTCTGCGTCTGAGGCGGGTCTACCCCCTGGGCGCCAGGCCAGGCTGGACACCCCTTGACCAGGAGGTAGCAGAAGGGCCCCGAGATCTTCCTGGGAAGAACAGAGCCATCTCCCCAGGCCCCTGCCCTGGCCTCCCCGTCCAGGTGTTTGTTCTGCACACAGCACCAGAGCGTCTGCTTGGTGCCAGGTACTGTGCTGAGCACTGGGGCACCGCAGGGAGCAGCCAAAAGTCTGCTCCCATGGAGCGCCCTGGAGATGACAAAGACCCTGTCTGTGCTGGGGAGGGCGGGAGGGGCTGTGGGAGCTGGGGTGGCAGGAAGCCCCCTCTGAGGCGACTAAGCTGAGACTGCAGGGCCCCTAAGCATGTTCAGAGCACAACAGGCTGGTTCCCTTCTGCCTCTTCGCTCCTCTGCACTCCCCCCCTACTCCCTTCTGCAAGGTTCACCTTCTTCTGGAAGCTTCTCAGATGCAGCAACACAGCAGAGTGCTGTGTGTGTGTTTGTGCGTGCACGTGCATGCAGGCATGCACTTATCATCGTGACAGATTAAATCAGTCTGAATGTGAATTGCAGAATGCATTTTTAAGCATTAGGGTCCAGTGTTTTGGGGACCAGAAATTCAATGGCCCGCTAGGGAGTGCTGCCATACCACACTAGGTAACACCTCTGCTTTGCCTGTGAGCACAAAGGAACTTCAGAAGTGCCGGAAACAGCCTGTTGTTTAATGAAAGGCAGATGACCCTGACTGGGGCCTTGCACTGGGCACCCCCTGCTCTCTCCTGCCTTCTCTCAGCTCTAGGGTCCTGGCTCATCAGCGCCATCACAGATTCAGCACGACATGCACCCAGCCAAAGAAGCCGGAGCACATTGCCTTTCACAGGCTGTGCCCATAAACACAAATGGCTCAACGATGCTTTCAGGGGTTGCCCCCACGCGAAACAGATGGCCACGTGCAAACGCAGAGCGATGGAAGCTAAAACGGGGACGGCTGTCGGTGACTTCATGGAGGTGCTGTGGGGTGTGGCTGCGTCCCGTCACAGGTGATGGAGCTCCTACTGGCCCCACGTTTCCAGCTAGAGCTCTTCCCCAGGACCAGCCTGTTCTCGGGGAAAACTTTCTTTCCCCCACGTCCCCATCAGGGCTGAGCAGCATGGGCAGGAGAAGCTGAGTCATCATCGCAGTGTCCCGCTGGAAGGGAGCAGAGCACTCAGCCCCCAGAGTCCCCCAAATGTGGTTCCGGTGACCCAGTTACAGGCAGCATGGTTTCCCTCTCCCAGCTCTCAGCTCTGCACACTAAAAGCCACCCTGGGACCCATTGTGCCTTGGATCTGGGCTCTCGGGGTGGGTAAGACAGGCGCAGCTCCACGGCTGGCAATGGAGCTCCCGCCTGCTCCCGTCTGTGCGGCTCACTCACTGCAGCCTCCACGCTGCTCCCCGATCCCAGCCGTGCCCTGTCCCTCTCTCACGTCTTCCCCAGTCTCACCCATCCCCTCCCTCGCTGCCCTGCCCTCTGTTCCTGGTGGCATCCTCATCTGAGAATCAGGAAAATTAGTGCCTGATCCTATGCAAGGCCCCAAGGGGGTTTCAGGAGAGAGGAGCTCGCTCTCTCCCTCTGGCAGCCAATGTTTATGGAGCATGGACTGGGCCTGGTCACCGTCGTAGGAGTCAGGACATCGAGACAACAGCCAAGGGAAGGCGTGATCTAGCGGGAGAGACAGACACGTGAACAGATCACAGCAATGACAGAGACATGGGGGAGGGGTCTTCCCAGCCTGGAAGACAGGACTGGTCCAGCACAAAGACCGTTCTGGCACATGGGACCTTGTCAAGTGCTACATAAAGCCAGGAGGGCCCAGCCTGGGGCCAGAGCCAGCAGAGCAGGCCACCGCTGCTGCAGGGCTTCAGGGAAGAGAGCTGCTTGGGCAAGGGGTGCCAGGGTGAATTCCTGTGGGCACAGGCGTGGGAGCTGCTCCTTGAAGAGGGGCAGATTTAGCTGCACATGTGTCCATGTGTCCTGCAGTTATGGGAAGATTTGGTATCCCTGACCCTTTGTCCCCCTCAGGAAACAAATGTGAATTCAAGTGCAGCAGCCTTTTGCAAAGACGCCTCTCTCCCTGCCCACTCCTTGTGCTTTTGTCTCAGCCACCTACAGGCTGTGATTTAGGGTCCCCTCCCCGTGGTCCTGCCCCTGTCCTCTCCTCCCCATTCCCCCGTCTGGTGGTGGCTCAGGCCGACGAGACCAGACGTGACTGAGGCCGGCAGCCTCCACATGCGGGGCTGCTGTGACAGCTGACAAAGTTACAAGGACGGGGACATCAGGGAGGACGGGTGGCCTGCTCCCGGCGGCGGCTGCCCCTCTGCTCCATTCCATTAGGATTGATCAGGCAGGGTCAAGGGTCTGCCGGGCCTGCACCGGGCACCTGGAGCTTTCACGATGACTAATGGCTATGCCGCCAACACCATGCCGACAAGCACCCCCGGCCCTCGCTTCCCCTGCTCCTCCCCAGGAGGTAGTCCACCTCATCTCCCTTTCTCTCGTGGCTCTTGTGTGTGCCGCATCACTCATTCATTCATTCATTCATTCATTGTTTACTGAGTACCCCAGAGACTTCTGCTTGCCCCCCACTCCTTCTCACCTAATCCCCTCACCAGCACCATCGTCAGGCCTTGTCTACCCAGCCCTCGACAGGCGCTCTCACCCTCACCTGCAGTCCACAAGCGGTGTCTCAGCCAGGCCGTGTACCCAACAGAGGGGAAAAGGGGACACCTTAAAGAGTTTCCTTCTAGCTGGGCTGAGAAGACCCCCATGCACGGAACTGTTAGGAAATCCAGCCCAGCCTGGGTGTGGCCAACAGATGACCAAGGGGACAGGCGGGGGCTGCCACACAGGGCTTCATCCTCTCATGCCCAGGCTCTGGAGCTCTCCGTGGTGTTGTGGAAAGGAGAAGAGGAAGATCCAAGTGGGGCAACGGACACCCAGATACATTCCTTTGGGCATCGTCGTAAACTCGAGCTGTGGGCTCCCACGTGGCACACGCCACCCACGCACATGTGGCAGGGGGGCAGGAGCATCTCAGAGGACGTCCTGGAGCCGGGGGCTAGCAGGAGCACAAAGGGGCAATCTCAACAGGGTGGGCTGGCAGACAGCTGCTGCGTCCTTGCTGCCGGGTGGGGCGGGGCAGGGCAAGGCCCCAGGTCCTGTGCAGCAGTGAGCCTGCGTCCCCAGAACACCCCGGGGCCACCCTTGGAGCACCTGTGCAGTGTGAGTGAGCGCGAGGGACCCAGACTGCCTCCTGAGGGTGTCCTCACGAGAGACAGCATGCGTGACTCTGTGCCTATGTGTTTGTGACCAGGATATATTCCCTGTGTGTGGCCTCATGTGGCAGATGGGGTATGTCTGACCGTGTGTGTGCGCGTGTGTGTGCACGTTCACACCCCTGCACCTGTGACATTCACCGTGTGTCTGTGTGGCTGTAGGGGACAGCAGGGTGTGGGTTTCTGGGAAGTGACACTCCCCAGGAATGAGTGTGGATGAGTGAGGGAGTGGACATCTGTCTGCTCTCCCTGCCTTCCACCGCTCCCCCACCCCGTGCACACCCAGGGGTCCGGCCACCGTGAGCAAATCACAGCCCAACCCCCTCCCACACACACTTTTAATC